TTCTTGCGTGATAGAACATGCAAGTTCAATTATCTTGTGTATGTGGGCCGATTTCCCGCATCATGGCATCAGGGGTCAACATGAGCAGTTCCGTGGTGCAGGATCAAAAGTTTGTGTGCCAGTCAGCCCTGCAAGAGAGCCAGGTCATCTTATGTGCACCGATGTACTGCTCTCTTGCCCAGGTGTGCCGTCGACCAAATGCTCGGCAAGGCCATCAAAGGCCAAGCTTTCCTGGTCAGGAGGGGTTTGGCTGCGCGACATTCTGGCATGCTTGTATCGCTGCAGTTTCGAGTTCTGTGCTTGTGCATGGTGTTGGAGTCCACTCAGAGTGTTTAGAAAACCTTACTGGTGCAGCCGTGTATTTCTCAACCGCATACAATCCTTCTATTCCCTATCAAGCCCTTTTAAGCCCTGCCGGCCTATGAACCCCTAACCCCAAGCTTACCAGCCCTTTATTATAACCTTCTCAACCCTTATGTAAGCTCAAAACCCCATAAACCCTAACCCCTGAGCCTTCGGCTGAAGCCACACAAGAATAGGATAATAGATTGAAGCCCCGACCCGCTAAGCCTCAAGCTTCTGCAAAGCCGGGCACTTGTGCCGATGTGCTCATGCTTTCCTTCTCAGTGGCCCAAATAGGAGAGATGTTGTTCCCTTGAAGATTGACACCGGACTGTAAAGCAGGACTCAACATGTCAACGTCTTTTCTTTCTGTGATAACCTGCAGCTGGTCTGTGGCTCTTTGGCCATGACGCCAGCCCAGATGGATCTCCTTGTCAGGCGGTTGGTGTCGTTGCGGGTGCCACAGGCGAGGCAAAGGGCTCATAGTTTTGCGCCGCTACAGATATGTGTTCATTCCATGATTCCCTCTTCAGGAGTTCATCTTGTGTGTGCTCCTTGTTTCATGGACTACCTTTGTCGATGTGCAACCATCGAAGCCTTGGGAGATGATAGAGTTTTTCGCGGGCTGTGGCAATATCGCTCGTGCTGCACATGATGTTGGCTACAAATCAGCTGCTGTCGATCTCTCTTATGATGCTGTGAGAAGCTTCAGAAGGAGGTTTCGGCTTGACAAGAGGAGCCCTTTCGATATCAACTCAGAGTCTGGTTTTGCGTGGCTTGACGAGATGTGTAATAATATGTGCACTGCTCTCTTGTAGGATAGTTATAACTCGCCCGGTTCTCTCCTCCATCCGAACGAATCCCAGGCTGGCCATCGCGATGATCCTGCAAGGAAGCTGGTCCGGGCTCTGCTGCAGTTTCGCTATCTGCTGTTCAAGTTTTGTCTTGGCCAATCGGGGTACGTCACACCGGGATGTCCTCAATCCAGAGGGACTTACATCCCAGCCCAGTGTACGCTCGGCTAACAAGTTGCTAAGCAGGACTGTGCCAGTGTTTGGGGTCTTATGCAATGGTTTCCTGATTGCATTGCCTGCATAGATATGTTGTATGGCAGGACACTTATGTTGATGAGCATGGTGGTGTGCATTGGGGGAACCGTATTCCTGGAAAACCCTGCATCCAGCATCATTTTCGAGACGAAGTACTTCTTAGATTGGGTGCGAAATATGCACACGGCTGGGCTACGGGCTCTTTGGTTCAATGATATATGATCTCGGTACATGATGCAGCTGTTGTGTTTTCCTGTAGCTACAACTGAGGTTTTCAAAGCCAACTTTTGGATGAGACTGTATGGGTCTCCAACATCGAAACGAACTTGCATGGTGAGCAACCGTGCTCTGGTCAGAACACTAGACAAGGGGCCGTTAACGAGAGAACAGCGCAAGGGCTTGTATCGCACAAGTCATATTTCGTACAGAAATGGCAAGAGAGAATGGACTGGCAACAAGTTCCTGAAGCGGACACAGTGCCATGGATGCATACAGCGAACCCGAAGCTTCTGCATATTTCACATAAACCAGAATCTTCCTATACGAACCTTTGCATGACTAAGGGAGTATACTCCGTGCTTCGCTCGGGCTATGGTTGAGATGCTTCCTGGGCTACAAGCTGAAGATGTCCAGATCCCTATTGCCGCTGGTGTGCATAAATTATAGCAAAAAATACATCCCTTTGGGTTGTGCTCCTCCGTGCTCCCATGCTGTAACTTCCCAGGATGAGAAGACCCCTCTGCCGGAGATGTGTGCCCAGCTCAATTGGGGCGAAGCCCCAGATGCGGACCTTGAACGTGTTGTCCGCTATCTTCGTGGTGGCACGGCCTTACAGATTCCAGATGGATGGAGAGGGACACTTCCCCCAGTTCTCTGAGGGATAAAGTATCTTAATTCGAGGCTGATCATAGTCCGGACTGTGCTTGATGACAAAACCAACCCGGCCATAAAGCTCTAGAAAGTCCAAGTCTTATGCCCTAAGCGAAGCCAACGACCCATGGGAGGCATTTTATAGGTTATGTAAACCCCAAACCCTTAAACCCTAAACCCTTAAACCCAAAGCCCTAAAACCCTTAAGTCTTGAACCCCAATATACAAGTCGATCCAGATAACTCTCTAAATTTGTTCTGCATGCAAGATGGCCTTGGATGCTTGTCATCGACAATTCAAGCATACTCGAAGCGGCATTTCTCAACGCCACATTCTTGAAAAGCCAAGGGCTTGCAGGGTTTAGGTGTTCAGGGTGGCTTAGAAGGCTGAGGGGTTAGGTTACATTAATATTATTTATAGTATATATCATACTTATATTCTATAGATATATTGATTGTGCTATATCCATACCTGAATATGACCTAAACCCCTCAGCCGACTAAGCCGCCCTGTATGTTAGTTTATGTATTTTTATATGTGGGGTTTGGGGGTTTGGGTCTATAGGTGTTGCAGGGCTGGTCCACACTTCTGCAAGCAGAAACAGTAACCCTTATAACCACCTGACTTCCTAATTGCCTCTGGAAGCCCAAAAGCCCTAAACCCCAAATCCTTTATATAGCGGCTGTTGGGCTTTATGGCATTGATATATATCCATATATAATATCTATCTATCTATTTATATAATATATATAAACACATATAATATTATAACATATCAATACCATAAAGCCCAACAGCCGCTAAACCTAAACTTGTCGAGCCGATACTATGCACCCCTCAAGTCCTCAAGCCACAGCTTGAAGCTCTCAACTCAAGCTACTGGGCCTCTTTAGGTGTCAGTCTTGTTTTGCGACCACATTCTATGACCAGATGCTGCTGCTGTTGCCGTCACTATCCAGATGCTCTTCCTTTGTTCTATGACGAAGCAAAGTACATTGGCCTTGGGGTGGTCCAGGGTCTGAGATCCCGGCTTCATACAGAAGTTAGGGTTATATAGGTTTGGGGTCCCACTTGAAGGCTCTATATAGGACTCTATATATGTTATATATGTATATATATATATATATATGTATATATATATATATAGCCCTATATAGAGTCCTATATAGAGCCGTCAAGTGGGACGTCAAACCTAATGTCAGGTTTCTTTTGTTGCTTCTGCCCAGGTGTCCTTTGGTTCTTTAACATTCTTGATCATCATCGTCATCATCATCACCATCCATGCAGCAGGACTACTATGTGAGATAGATTAGGATTACAAGGGGCTGCCCAATACATAGTCATTCTCATCCTCGTCCTCGACTTCATCCTGCTACAATCTACGACCGGGAATCTGAAGAACTATTATACTTTAATATAAACTGTAGTTTATATATTAATTAAAGTATATAATAGTTCTTCAGATTCCCGGTCGTATAAACCTAACTCGAAAACCCAATCGGCACCCTGTCTGAGCGGGGCCACGCTTGGCTTATGGCCCGGAAGACCACCTGGCGCAGAGAGGGCTGTGGCTGGGGTTTGGTGAGGGTGATATACTTTTACAGAGAGATCGAAGGTTTCCTTTGTTCGGCAGCAGACCTATATATACGGGTTAGGGGGGATACGTTGGTTGACTGTCCATATGATGGGGTCGGGTATGTTATCCTATTATAAAGAAAATGAAGACAATGCCCGAAGTATACCAAAGAAAGCCTGAATTATAGCAGCAAAAGCCTGAAGTGTGACCATTACAAGCAATAAAAGCCTGAAGTGAACCGACAATATGAATCAAAAGCCTGAAGTGGTAAAAAATAAGCCTGAAGGAAAAGGCGGAATCATGCGGAGAAAAGGCGGAATCATGCGGAATAAGGCGGAATTATGCGGAAGCCCTTTTGTAAGCAAAGCCATACCCAAAAAAAGCCTGAAGTATCTAGGATGAAAGACCCAAAAGTCTGAACCTGCTGGTGCAACGGATGCCTTTATACAACCTCGGCCCTCAACCCTTCAAGCCTCGTTCCTGCACTGGATGTGTGATCTTTACAGGCTCTTGTACAGGAGATGAACTCTTTTGTGAGTAGGCAGTGGTCTACATCTACTTTGAAGGAAGGCTTGGCTTGTGTGCATCAGAACGAGCCTTCAGCTATGGCGGCCGGCTCGATAGCAGGTGGAGTGAACCTTCAAAAGGAGCTTGAGGTGCCCTTATTGGGAAATAGCTCGCTATGATCTATTACATATTATGTTCGCTGAATCGAGGCAACTGATATGTCATATAAGAGTCATATAATCCCTGGAAAGGAAGCGCAAGAACGGCTTCGACTCGTTCGGGAACAAAGGCTCGCTAAGGGCAAGGGCTGTGGCAAAAGGGCGACGGGTTCTATAGCATCAGATGGCCCGCAAGTCCTGGGAAGGAGCCAACAGGTATCTTGACAATGAGATCCTAAGTTTTCTAGACCCGAACATCACCACGGACTGCTTGCCCAAACTCTCCTGAAGTTTCCCAAACCCAAGGTCATTTTGACAAAGACATCGGCTTCTTTGGATGCAACGCTACCCGATGATACCCCGCCTCCACAAGCTGATCTTTGGCAGCATGACCGACAGCCTGAGTATGGAGAACTTGAGCTTTGGCTATCGGATGAGACCCGAACCTTCCGGTATAAAAAGCCCTCTAGAATGATAGAAGAAATCATGGCTTAGGAGATGTCGATGCTGTCGACCTCATTGCCGGCGACCCCGATGCTGGCCCCAAGGCCATCGGCCCCGACTCCATCGATCCTCGACCCGGTCCGAGTCAAGGAGACACTAGCATCAGAAGCATCCTCAGAAGAAGGGCCCCCGCCCGAGACCAAGCAGGTCCCAGCGATCACCACACCAGCGGAAAAACCTACCTTACTGCCAACGCCACAGCAGAAGCCCGGCCCTTCGGAGCCAAAGCCGGATGAGAAGCTCACCCTGACACCAAAGGAGAATCCGGCATCGCAGCAGCAGGTGGCCCAAACAACAGCGGAAGTGGAGCCGACATCGAAGCAGAAGGTGGCCCAAACAGCATCGGAAGTGGAGCCGACATCGAAGGAGAAGCCGGCCCAAACAGCGCCGGAGCCGACACCGAAGGAGAAGCCGGCCCAAACAGCGCCGGAGCCGACACCGAAGGTGGCCCAAACAGCACCGGAGCCGACACCGAAAGAGAAGCCGGCCCAAACAGCACCGGAGCCGACACCGAAAGAGAAGCCGGCCCAAACAGCACCGGAGCCGACGCCGAAAGAGAAGCCAGCCCAAACAGCACCGGAGCCGACAGTGAAAGAGAAGCCGGACGTGTCGATGCACCCAGAGGGGCGAGTCGAGGAGCTTGTCATAGAGATGCCTGCTGGGACAGCAGGACAATTTCGACAGGTCGAGGTGGAGTCGATCGACCAAGAGCATGATGATGATTCTTCTATGCTTCTGGGTGATGGTGGCATCCCAAATCTAGATGATTTCGATGCACCCCGCCCATCACCGGAAGAACCCTCCTTGTCAGCAGGAGCCATCGATCGCCGCATGCGCAGGGTCTTCACAATCAAAGCATCAGGTGAATACAAGGTATGTTCCAAGTTCGTGGATATGTGGAAGAAGAAGGGCTCAAGCCGGGAGACATTGGGCAAAATCTTTGCTTCATGCGGATACAGTGCAGTTTCTCGGCATGCCAAAATAACTTAAACCTAAACCTACAACCTACAGCTTCTGAGGCTCAATATTTAGGACTGGGAGGGGTTTGTTATCGTGTGTTCGGGATCTGAGGGATTCGAGTTTGTGATATTATATCTGAATATCAGCCCTGGGGTGTTCGGAGGATGATATGTTGGACTTTGTGCTCGAAGCTTGGGCTTTTATGGCTTCGTGCAACACTAGGGTCATCATAATTCTTGGCCCTGGAGGCATGTGAAGCTTTGTCTTTGAATTCGGTTTATGGAAAGATTGTGTTCTTCTTCTTATTAGTTATATGTGAGTATTTTACAAACTATATTTATGATATATGATGATATTATTAATATTATATATATATATATGTTATTATAATATGTATATTATATTATATATAAAAGTGGAGTTCGGGGGTGAGGGGTGAAAGTTTTCTGGAGTTGTCCAAACCCACCTCATTGCAATAGCACTTCCCTCCTTGCTTGCAATCCCGTAATGCTCGCCTGGATCGACCGCCTGTAGGCTGTGAGACAAACACCCGTACTCTGAGGGAAAGTTTTCTTGAATCCTGTACCACTAACACTCCCAATTTTCCTATACAGTCATTCCCCAAGCTCAACATTTTTGAGCTAACACCCAAACTCCTGGACAATTACCCAAAGCCTGTTATTTCCCCTAAACCCTAAACCCCATCGCTACAGGAAGCCTTCGTCACGCAGCTGGAGGAGATCGAGGAGAGCTTCGAAGAGGACGAACTCCTCATCGAGGGTGAATATGCTTCGGAGGAAGCTATGGAGGAATGGGGCTGGTCTGAGACTCTTTCATGCAGACTTATTGCAAACACTCGTGGTTGCAAGCCTCTCAAGAGATTGTGTCGATGTGATACCCGGAAACCTGTGCCTGCTTAGGAAGAGGATCGAAGCTGTGAAGAAGTACTGTGCTTCGAACCCCACGAAATTCATCAGGACGGAAACTTTAAGTATGTCACTGTTGAAGTGCCCTATGTTCTGACCCGGTGCACCCCATATATCTTCCTAATCAGGAGGGACACCTACGAGCCCTCTCTGCTCCTGTACTGGTGTGAGAAGACTGTGAAAGCCAAACACAGGTGCTTCAGCTGTGCCGAGTAGATTGCATGCTGGTAAGAAGGAAAGGGGCTTTAGAGGTCTAGATGGCTTTGTATACAGTTTAAGGCTTATACCTGGACCCCAACAGTATGTAGAATAATCGACTTTTATAGGTTTTGGGCCAGTATTTTTCCTACTTTGGGGGGTCTAGGTAAGGTCTAGGCATGGGATCCCGGTTTTTGTTTTGCGATTTTAGGTGTTGTGCACTAAGTTAGGGTTTGGGGGTCATGATGTGTGTACTATACAGTGAGCATCCATGCTCATGTCTATGTATGCACACAAACACAATCTTGAGCGCACATGTCACTACCAAGAAACCTTTGACATAGATGATCATTATATACTGTGGCAATATTATGCTGTCTATGCGAGGATGTTGTCTGGCGATACATACGGCTGTCTTATCTGGTTGACATGTGCTGATCTGAGGCAGGGCGAGCGAAGGATAAGGCGACAGATATCTCGCTTCGAGGGCCAAGGAATCCTGCCTTCCCAGCAGGAAGCCAAGTCTGGGCCCATCGACCCTGGTGCAGGTGGCTGGCTTGTAGATAACCCTAAACCTAAACCCTATATCCTAAACCCCAATATATAACCCTAAACCCTATAGACCCGATCCCTTTCAACCCTAAACCCAGGGTCTTATATCTGAATCATTCTATGAGGCCTGGAGTCTTTATAATTGTGAAAAATTGTTTTGGGAAATGTACGAACCTTGCATGCCAGCGGCTTTGGAACCTGAGGGCTGGGAAATAAGTCTAGGCGGCGACTGCATGGGCTTATCAGAGTTTAGTTTCCTGCTTCGAGCCTTTGTACTCCTACCGGGGATCATGAGTCATTCGCCCGAAGTAACTAAGCTTGGGTTGTTAATATAGTATACTAAGTATAAGGCTTGCTGATATAGGGGTTTCTGTTTTCCTGAAGGTATTGTCCACGACTTCAAGGATGTGGATACAAAGGCTGCCTTGGAAACCAAGGAAATCTTGGACATGAGAAAGAAGGCAGGGGTGCCGGACATCAACCCGGATGCATTGCCGAGTTCATACTGCCAGAAGCTTCTGGTGTGTCTGAACAAGCGGAACACCAAGCTCCGGGATTTGAAGGATGCCTGCCCGACCCAGAACCAGAGTGGAGACAACATCTTAAGCACTTCTCAACAGAAGAATCTTGCCAATGCTTCATTTTTATCTTTGCCCAGACCTGTCCCCATAAAAACCTGGACGAAACCAACTGAAGCAGCGGAACCTCAGGATGTACGACAAGATCGGCAAGCTCAGCCAAGAGCTGGAGACCTTAGAGGACCAGCTTGATGATGCCCACAACAAAGGCATCGTGGACGGCTTCACCCCCGAGTTTCTGGGATTGAGTCAAAAGCAGACTTGCTCATAACCTTCAGGTTTCACGTGTTTTGGGGGATCCTGACTTTGAAAGGAGTATTGCAGATTGCAATATTTCCAAACAAATCTGTCTTGATACTACATATATATGTGCACTCAGAAACCCAGTCCTAAAGCCAAGCCCCCTCAAGTGCCCGGGCCCGCAAACAACCTTCGACCAAGCTTTCAGCTTCATCCCAGGCACGAGGAGATGCTACGGAATTTGATTCACCAAGTGAAAGTCAAGTCTCTTGGCTCAGCAATGATTGTCGACTGTACCACAGCTGCTTGTGTGCTTTGAACACTCCAGCTTTCGTTGTTGGAATCGAGTTTTAATTGTTGGGATTCTTGGCTGCACCCAGGGCTGTCGAAGCGCTCAATGTCGAGACTCGTGCAAGGAGTGATTCTGCTTTCGGACTTATATAATATTGATTGCTCGTGATTTTTGGAAACTTGCAGGACGCTTCTTCCTCGTGGAGATCCTGCTCCTTCTGTTTCTGAAGTGCCAACCCCGAAGACTAAACCCAAGGCAAAGGCTAAAGTCGCCCCCAAGGTGAAGCTAGTTGCTGCACCCAAGCGGGTGAAGAGTCCTTCGCCACAGACCCCCCGACCCAAGAAGAAGGCGAAGAAGTGAACTGATGTTCACTGCCATTTTGGTTCCCCATATCGGATGATGATTATGATATGGAAATTCGATCCGGTGTGATGACCGGCCGGTGCAAGCCTTCTTATGGAGTTCCATGTACACACCTCATAATCCCCCAAAGCTCCAATAGCAACCTGTATGACACCACCATGTATTACCACTGCTTCACATCGACCGGCTGGCCTGCACACCCTGATGGCTGTAGCGCTGCAGCCTTGAGAGCAAGAGATTTCCACGTGCTCGGGGACATAGCAGCTGCAAGGGCAAAAAACTTGGGACCATAGGCAAGCCTATGGATATGATCTGCACGACCGATCCATGAATTTTATTCACTCCGTTCCTATGGTTCTTGAACCGAGCCAGGTGATGATACCGCTGAAGAAGATCCCGGACACCTTGTGGAGACTCTCGCTGAAATGGTTGGGGAAGGTGTCAGGTTCTCAGCTCCCCATCTGTGCTGGATGAAGGCACCCTTTGATTATAATTGAAACCTCGCACAGCTTGAGGTCCCCGCCACGGCCATGGCCCGGGTTGCTGAAGCAGCCACAAAGGATGGCCTGCGAGGATTAGCTGTGGCAGAGACTGCTGCATTCAACTCGACAAATGCTGAGAGGGCAGCTCACCGACTCTTTGCAAGGTGGGGGCTTAGGCTAGGTGTCAAAATCACAGATCTGTTGCTGAGCGATGGATCGAGAAACCTCAAAGTTCCGATCTTGAAGCCATCAAGTTGGATACAATGCCTGCTAGAGAAGTACCCCTCCGCTTTATTTGGTGGTTGCAGCCTGGAGATGGGACCTAGCAAGTGTCTTACATTCTGGAAGGGGCTCTACCAATCACAGAGAACGCTTGAAGTGTACCGCAACTTCAAGCCGCAGGAGCTGCAGCATGTTCTGCCGATCCTATTGTATGGGGATGAGGGGACAGGCTCCAAGAAGCAGCCGATAGCCATTGGCAGTTTCGAGACAGTTTTTGGCCTCGAAGATCAAGAAACCCGACGAAAGACCAAACGGGCGAGGTTTTCTGATTGCATCCATTCGTGTGGGGACTCAGTGGGTCTTGGCCACTGCTGTGAATTACCCGCACATTGGCCTCGTCACCAAGAGCTACCAGCAGATTTCCGTTTGTCCGAGGATGATCTTTCGGAGCTCAAAAACCAAATGCATGCCACCACAGGTCATTCATATTTGTCTCGCTATTTGAATTATATGATTCCAACTGCTTTGCTGGATCTTGGCCCCTGGGTCCTTGATGGTGTGCAAAAGGCTGTGGCCCAGGACTTACGCAGTTTGTTCTACGAGGGCTTGCTTGTCAATGGTCAACGATTTTATGTTGCAGTTGTTGGCCTGAAAGGCGATCAGAAGTGGCATGTACGTGTTGGCCAGTTCTACCGCAGCTATCTACACTTAGGCGATGTTAATTCACACGAAATATGCCCCGATTGCTTGGCCGGAAATCCTGCATACCCTTTTGAAGAGACCTCCGAAAACCCTCGATGGGTCAAGACATTTGGTACCGATGAGCTTCCATGGACAGAACCTGGAGTGTTTGAGGAGCTGCCTTTCGATTCTACATTTCCCTCCTTCAAATACAAACGGGATTTGTTGCATAGCTTTAAGCTGGGGCTGGGTCGAGACATAGCTGGTGGAACGATCATGCTTTTGTGCCGCTTCTTTGAGACTTTGGATCATCCTGGTGATTCCAAAGGTGTGATCTCACGATTGGAACGTGCCCATGCTCGCTTTGCTATGTATGCATCTGCCGCCAAGAAAACCCCCCATGTCCGAAAGTTCACAAAGGACTTCCTGCACCACAAAACGAACAAGTCCTTTGCTTTCACGGCTTCGAAAGGATCAGACACGATCTTATTGCTGGAATGGCTCCACCTCGAGTGCCAGCTGGCCATCCAGAAGCATGCCGACCATCGCAGGGTAGACCTCTTGAAGGCAGCAGTTCAGGTTTGTAAGGCCTCCTGTTCGATATTTTGGATCGTCTACAATCATGGGCTTTGGCTTCCGAGGCTTTGTATGAGCAAGCTTCGGGATACGATCCTGAGAGTGGTACGGGGGTATGGCTATTTGGCCCGTGGGTGCTACCAGGAATCTTTTGCAGCTTACCGCTGCAAGTCTACATTGCACTCCATACATCATTTCGCTGTCGAGCTCGACCTCGCTTTATTGATGAAGGCTGATTGCTACCCAAGTCCTTTGTTGTTTGACTGCAGTCAATCCGAGGATTTCGTAGGTCGCAATGCCCGGGTCGCCAGGGCAACGCATGGAAAAACCACTGCTCTTCGAGGCCTACAGCGCCATCTTGTGAAGTCCAGAAGCATGCTCCGAAAACACTTCCGAAAGATTGAGAAGCCAGCCGCTTGGCCCCCGGCAGGATGACACGCACGAGCAGGAAGTGAAAAGAAGTTGTGAGCCAATGCAAAGGGGTGTCATGGTCAAGTCAAACCCAAACCCAAGAAGCAATAGCCTTATAGCTGTGTGAACTCACAAACCTACTTGCATTGGTTAAAAGCCCTATATAATTAAACCCTTAAGTGCCCCGAGATCTTACTCCAAGTTTCGCCCCGACAATAAAGCCTTGCCTCCTTACCTGTGCAATCATCCGAACCATCCATGTGTGGGTATTTTGGTTTTGGTGTGGCTGTTTTGGTTTGGAGATGGCTAAACTTGTTCTTTGAACTTTTGGTGTGGCTGTTTCGTTGCCCCGGGGCTGTTTCGATCAGGTATGGCTGTTATGGTGTGTTGTCCCGGGTGTGGCCGTTATATTTGGTAAGCGGTCGGTACAGGTACACATGAACCTCCAAGTAATAAGCCACTCCACATGAGTTGCCGTTGGAGTGTACGATGCTCAACTAGGCTGACATCGAAAATGCGCTCGTGTTTGCAGCCTCCAGCTCAATACCCTGCCCAAGAAAGGACTTGTAGATGGCCGACCCAACTAGAACATGGATTCTTGAAGGTACCTATAGGCACCATAGTAGTTCCTTTTGGGGGTTCATATTTAGAATCCTACAAGGTAATCCAAAAAGGAACTACAATGGGGCCTTTGGGTAGTTTACTCCAGGATTCGGGTTCGGGTGACATCTCAGCGTTGGAGCCTCCGTCTACCCCTGCCGAAGCCTGCATTTCACAGCCCCCAACCAAGGACCCCAAGGAACCTAGCCCTGAAGTCCACATAAGCCGTGTAATAGCTTGCTATAAGGGATACTGGTAGGCTACTATACATGACAGCACCTGTATATGGCCCATGCATAGTGATTATAACGCATTTTGGTATTGGAAAGAATGGTCGGGCGCCCTGCGGCAAGCTCTACAAAGACCTAAGCCCGAAACCAACGCTTTGAACAGCCAAGCCCGAAGCCCACAGTGTCCGAAGTCAGGATCCTGTCAACCCTCAAATCCCCGACTTTGAGCATCAAGCCCTAAGCCCTCCAACAAAACCCCCAAACAAAGATCCTAGAGCCCCAAAACCCCCACTCTTAGACCCTATGTCAAGACTAAACAGACTTCGAGCCTCGAAACCTAAGAAGGCACCGGCACCCAAGGAAAACGAGCTCCGGAGTACAACAGTCGCAGGCCGGACGAGGGCGCTGGAGCCTGAAAATGCATAGGCGAGCCCAAGAACCAGTTCTTGTTGCTGGGATTCTTTTTACTGGTTCTAGGTTTTTAAGGGTCTGTAAGTGGTAGGGCTTGAACGAAGCGTGCAAGAATAATCAAGGAGCCTGAACAGAGCTTTTATATGTGATCAAAGGCCCTTTCTGGGACAACTTGCATCTGCAGTCGAGGGTTTGGAGGCAGGTGTGTTCAGAATTTGTTTTTTAGGCTTTAGGGCTTCAGGGTTTTAAGGCTCAGGCTCGGGGGTTGAAGGCTATGAACCAAGTTTTGAAGCTATAGATTCGTCCTATGGTCTGATCTTGGGAGGGCAGGCGGGTTTAAGCACCACAGTACTCAGCTCGGACACCCCGAACCCTTAAAGGGTTTCTTTTGAAGGTTCCGGTTGAGGTTCGTTCAAGGTTCCGTGAAAGGCCCCCCCCTTGGACTGCGCTGAAACCGGAACCGTGTATCAGTTGGGCTTGTGAATGCCCAATGAAATCTCTGCAATGGCTCCTTTTAGGTCACGTGCTGATAGAAAAGCTGGTGTTTTGAGGCTTCCATGCAAGCTTGTAGAGGCCGAATCTACTGTAAATTGCAGTATGTTTGATCTTGTGTTGTAATGTCCGCCTACATGGGTGCGCACGTCAAATCTCGCTTTGCTGCCTCAACTTGCCCAGCTCATTCTTCAAGTCTGCATCTACAATGAGATGATATCTCCAAACAAAGGCTTGCATGTACCGGATACCGGATCAACTTGTCATTCAATGCACCTGAGCTCCATGTTGTTGAGGCTGCTTGACATAAAGCGAGCTAATGATTGTCACCATCTGTCCACCACCTGCGTCCCAGCCCAATAGGCGGGGGCACTATATATATATATATATACACACATTATTGTAATAAATATCTATACACATTATGTATCACATATGTACATATATACACACACATATACATATATACAGGAATAGATAGGTGTATTTTAAATTTATATATATATGATATATGATGTATGTATGCACATATTTTATATACATGTGTATATATATATATATATATATTCGTAAGTTGATAGTTACTATAGACATACAGTATCCCCCAGGTTGTTTATCAACACGCGTCGTCCTTTTAGCCCAGTGAAATCTCACTCCTCATGTCGTTTGCCAAAACACTGCACCCGAAAACCCAAACCCTTATGCAGAAACACTATAGAAGCCTCATACAACTCTGGCCTCAGAAACCTGCACAAAAGCTTGTACGGAACCCTCATAAAGCCCTCATAGAACCCTTGAGAGTGGTCAAAGAACCCTTGCTCATGACTATACACTGAGCGATGGAGTGTTGCGGTCCTCCAGCGCTTCGGAGTGCTCCGACAACGCCGTCGATGCACCCTCATTTGGGTTTCGGGCTTGGAGGTTCATGCAACAAGGCAAGAGAGAATTAGAAAGATTATCTCGGGTGTATCGATTGAGGGTTTAGCAGATTCCTCCAGCAGCCCAGTCACGGTGCTGGGGTTATGAGCATTATAAGGTTTACTTTCGAACACGGTTTGATGCAACAGAAACCCACTGTAAAAGCCCCGAACCTTCCAACTTCGCCGGCCTTCACCTGCTCAGAATGACATTGTGGCAACTTCGTTTTCTTGTTCTCAAGATGTCATGCCTTCGAGCTCGAACATCCAGCCCTAGCGACCCGGGCTCAGTGTGAACCTTAACTCGAAACCCTTGAGCCCCAAGACCTGAAACCAAGTGATGTGTATGTATGTATATATATATATATATATGTCACCACATATATATATATATGCGTATATATATATATATATGGTACCCCCCCCCCCCAGTTACCAATACATTCCTGTGTTTTCCTTCTGCAGGCAGCACCATGAGACAAAAACAGAGCATTCGAGCACCCTCTTGGCTGAGACTTGTGACAAGACTCTCCATGAACGTTTTGTGGCCTTAGAGGGCGCTTGCACCACTTAGAAAAAGCGCTGTACTGTCCCAAAAAAACCAATCCTTTGTTGCAAAAGTGCTGTACTGTCCCAAAAAAACCAATCTTCTACAGTCTTGGAGCAGTTGCCGTGTAGGGGCCTCCAATAGATTGGTTTTTTTGGGACAGTACAGCACTTTTGCAAAAAAGGATTGGTTTTTTTGGGACACTACAGCACTTTTGCAAGAAAAGCAACAAAACACTGTACTGTCCCAAAAAAACCAATCCTTTTTTGCAAAAGTGCTGTACTGTCCCAAAAAACCCCAAAAAACCAATCTTCTACAGTCTTGGAGCAGCTGCCGTGTAGGGGCCTCCAATAGATCCAAGACTGTAGAAGATTGTTTTTTTTGGTTTTTTTGGGACAGTACAGCACTTTTGCAAAAAAAGATTGGTTTTTTTGGGACAGTACAGCACTTTTGCAAGAAAAGCAACAAAAAACAGTGTACTGTCCAAAAAAAACAAATCCTTTTTTGCAAAAGTGCTGTACTGTCCCAAAAAACCAATCTATTGGAGGCCCCTACACGGCAGCTGCTCCAAGACTGTAGAAGATTGGTTTTTTTGGGACAGTACAGCACTTTTGCAACAAAGGATTGGTTTTTTTGGGACAGTACAGAACTTTTACAATAAAATTAACGAAACCACTGTATTGTCTCAATCAAACGATCCTTTGGAAGGTTTCCGTCACGCGCGCGGCGCCCGCGCAAAACGCACTGCAGATTTTCTTCTCGCGCTCTGTTAGCTTTGACTTACAGCAGATTTTTGTTTTGCCGTCAACTTGAGATCTGGTTTCATTGTAAATTATTCTACAGTGAACTCCAGAAAGTTGAAACATCAGTATCCTAATGCCTTTATACTAAAGGCAAAGTAAATCAAACACTAATCACCCTAAATCAATGTTCCAAGTTTCTGGGGTTCACTATGATTAGTTAATGTACCCTTATTTTTGTAAGTGTTTGTTGGAGATGGTAGAAGGGTGTGTTTTGTTTCTGGTTGCCAGTCTCACTGAGGTTTTATGTTTAGGGTGATGAGTGTGATATTTGATTACTTCAGTGAGCACTGTTTACGTGTGTTAGGTAAATGAGATAGACTGATGTAAGTGAATGATATGTTAATACTGTGTCCTTAATTACATCTAAACCCATAAATATGGGTAGCTTTTTGATTTATGATAGGATGGAAAAGCTTGCTTAAGGCATTGTGGCAGGAATATGATGATTAGCATAAGGGTATGGCGGTAGTAGTATAACAGGATAAAGGTACAGTGTAATCGTGTTTAATACTATGGATTGACTAGTAGTGGTAGTAGTAGTAGTAGTAGCAGTTGTAGTAGTAGTGATAGTATTGATAGTAGTAGTAGTAGTAGTAGTAGTAGCAGTAGTAGTAGTAGTAGTAGTAGGTAGTAGCAGCAGTAGTAGTAGTAGTAGTAGTAGTATCAGTAGTAGATTGTAGTCGTATTACGGTTCTTGTGATGGTTTGTTATGACCATCTTGATAATAGTTGGATATGTGACAGGATTTAACTTAATATCATGATACGAAATTTAGGAGCAATATGGTGAGAAGACATGGTCTAGGAAAAGGTCGCCTGGATACATTTGGGGCAAGATGTGGAATGACGCTGAAACACATAGACCTATCTAAACATGTAGTAATGTGGTAGTAGCAGTAATAGCAGCAGCAGCACGAGGAGGAGTGGTAGTGGTAGTTGTTGGTGTTAGGGTTGTACTATTATTAGCGTGTGATAAGGAAGGATGGGTGATAGATTAGAGGCACGTCTAAGTAATACAGAGGGTG